TTTTTTTTTAATATTATTATATTATAAACTTATAAAAATAAAAATATATATAATTTAAAAACTTGCGACCAAAGTTGGTCGCTAACTGAAGGATAAGTTGATAGCGACCCAACTTGGTCGCTAACATGGGACCCAGTTATAATAATTTTAATAAATATATTTTATTAATTTTAAAATAAATTATAAAATATAATAAATATAATTCAAAATTTAGCGACCAAAGTTGGTCGCTTAAATGAAAATAGAGACCAACGTTGGTCGCGCAAGGTGGGGACCAGTTCTAAACATTTTATAATTTTTATTATTATATTTAATATTATATAAAATAATAAATAAATCTGATTAAAATTTAGTGACCAAATTTGGTCGCTAAATTAAATTCATGTAACAGTTAGTGGACCAGCTTTGGTCGGCTAAATTAAATTCATTTACAGTTAGCGACCAAAGTTGGTCTCTATATGGTCAAAATTAAAAATCACTTTTTGTATTTACTATGTAAATAATATAAATGTAAGTCGTTAATACTTTGTAATACAAGGGATGAATAGTACTACGAAGCGGGCGTGTGTGTCTCTTATATAATATATATATATACTTACGCTATATTATGCACTAAGTATAAGTGTATTAGGTAATACCGTATCGAATATAGCTCATATATATATATAATATATTACTTGCGCTATACTATGCACTAAGTATAAGTGTATTAGGTAATACTGTATCGAATATAGCTTATATATATATAATATATGTACTTACGCTATATTATGCACTAAGTATAAGTGTATTAGGTAATACCGTATCGAATATAGCTTATATATATAATATATGTACTTACGCTATACTATGCACTAAGTATAGAGTACTTAGGTAATACCGATCGAAATACAGCTTATATATAGTATAATAATATGTACTAGTGCCATCTTTTTAGTTTAAAGGAGCTTAATCTCCTTCAAACTTCCATAAAGATTTGAAGCTGGAGAATACCCTTCTTGATGGAAGTCCAGCTCCACGCTTGAAGAAATGTGATTTTGAGTACTCAAAATTTAATGATGTTCTGAGTATTTATATTTATATATATATATATATATATATATATATATATATATATATATATATATATATATATATATATATATATATATAATATATGCACTTACGCTATATACTATGCACTAAGTATAAGTGTATTAGGTAATACTGTATCGAATACAGCTTATATATATATAATATATGTACTTACGCTAAGTATTGACTGTATACAGCTTATAATACTGTATCGAATACTGTATCTATATAAGTATTGACTGTTTGACCAAGTAGCGACCACAGTTGGTCGCCATTTTTGACCGTTTGACCAAAAGGCGACCAACTTTGGTCTCTTTTGAGTATATATATATATATATATATATATAAAACAGGAAAAAAATTAGGGTTATTTTATTTACTTATTTTCAAATATAGCGACCAAAGTTGGTCGCTTTTTGGTCAAACGGTCAAGAAAGGCGACCAACGTTGGTCGCTATTTTGGTCAAACAAGTCAATACTTATATAGCTACCAAAATAGCGACCGACTTTGGTCGCTTTTTTTAATTGCAGAACTCAAAATCGGGTTTCCCCTCCCAAAATCTTATTTTCTCTCACACAAATTTCCCAACTTCTCTCTCAACTATTTCTCCTCCCCTTCTCTATTTTCCTTACACAAATCAATCTCCCCCACCCGTTGCCACCACTGTCACCGCCGCCGCCACCACCACTGTCCGCCACCACCATTGTCAATGCCGCCACCACTGTTCCGCCGCCCCCACTTATTTTAGCCTCCTTTTAATCTACCAAGATTAGTAATCTACCTATTAGCTTTTTAATTTTTAAATTTTGCTATATAATTTTATGTAATTTGTTAGAGTTTTTGCCTATTTAGTATTAGGGTTGTTTGTTTGAACTACATTAGGTAATATGAACTTTTTACTATTTAGTATTAGGGTTGTTCTTTTGCCTATTAGCTTTTTACTTATATTGAGTTCAATTGTGAAAAGATACAATTCATTGTCTTAGAAGAGGAGCAATACCTAAATAAGAGTACCTAAATTCATGCTTTAAACTATGAATTATACATTTATAAGATAAGAAAAAAGATTTAGGGGGAGGAGTTTATTAATGTATTAACTAACTTAATTTGTTCTTGCTTTATTTAAATAGATGGAACATCGTTCTTGGATGTACAATAGGAATTATCCTAATCGGCGGGGATTACGGGAGGATTTTGTAGAAGGGGTTGAGGACTTTATTAGACATGCAATGTCACTTCCGCCATACATAAAAGAAGGAGTAATTAGGTGTCCTTGTGTTAAGTGCGACTGTATGAAGTTTGGCTAACCTGAAATTATGTAGGACAATTGGCAAATGCAAACAATTTGTTAAGCAGAGGAATAGAATTGAAGGATCTATATGCGAAGCTTATCTTGCAAAGGAAACTGCTCATTTTTGTTCTTATTATTTTGAGAGTAATGTGCCATGTGCTAGGAATAGGCCAACAGGCACACGATCGCCCTTACGAATGATCCATTATATCCGCCTATGTCCATATTCAATCAACCAGGCCGATGTTCTAAGGGTGGTAGAAAGAGAAATTTGAGTGATATGGAGTTCAAGTCAGCTACACTTCATGTGTTGCTAAATTGTCCCGAAGTAGTACCATTTCTCAAGTAAGTATTGATTTAATAGTTATCAAAATATAAAATTTACTGTGATTACATCTCAATGCAACTACTAAAAATATTTGATGTGTCACAGTCACTTCGTGGGTCAATTTGGCCAAGATGCTGTATATACGACATTTGATAAGTGGTTCAAACAATTTGTAAGTATATCCTTAAAATATTCTAACACTATGTAGGTAAACAATGTTTGGAAGTTATGCTAACTTATGAATTTTGTTAACAATATGTAGGTAAATGATCCAAATAATGATGTAAATCAATTTTTGAAAGATATATCTTGGGGACCTGGTGTTGAGGTCACAACATATTCCAAGTACGTTGTGAATGGCTATAAGTTTCATACAGAGGATTGCTCTAAAAATAAAAAAAGCAACAACAGTGGGGTGTGGGTTCAAGGTGGTGATGGCAACCAAGTTGGAGATATTGATTATTATGGTGTGCTCAAAGAAATAATAGAACTAGAATATTCAGGTTGGCCATTTAAGAAAATTATTCTCTTTAGATGCAAGTGGTTTGACCCAAATCCAACAAGAGGTACGAGAGTACACAATCAATACAACATAATTGAGGTTAATCATACGAGGGAGTATAATCGCTATGATCCTTTCATAATTGCACATAATGTTAGGCAAGTGTATTATGCTCCTTATCCATTGAGGCAGAATAAGTCCGCTTGGTGGGTTGTAATCAAAACTAAGCCTGTAGGTAGGGTCGAAGTCGAGAATGTGTTGGATGTTGCATATCAAAACGATATCTCCAGTATTCACCAAATAGTGGACGAACTTTTAGAAAATGATTTGGAACATCCTGAACATATATTGGAAGAATTTGATATAAATGAAGTAAGAATTATAGAAAACGAGGAAGAAGAATCAACTGATGAAGCTCAAACTAGTGAGGAAGAAGAATTCTCTGACGAGGAAGAATACGTCGATGAGCTTTAAAAAGTTGGTTTCTTCGATAACTCTCGTTTATAGATAGTTTCCTTATATGTTTCAATCTAAATATGTATTATATTATGCAGATGACATGCAAGGGTCGAGGTAACAATGAAGGTAGTGGTTCTCGGGGTCGAGATAAGGCTAGGAAGCAAAAGAGGAGGGTAGAAGATACTACTCATCAATCTTTTACACCCTCTTCTGATTTGACTATCACTATGCCACAGCCTCTACACCATGGCTATACTGAGCTGCCACAGCATCACCAGCCCTACACCTTCGTGCAGACCCCGGGTGTTTCTTTACAGGGCCATCGGACTGTGCGTCCGACATACATTCCACCTGCCTCACTACCACGTGGAT